TCACGGGCTTCACTTTCCTCCACTGGAAAATGTGTGGTTATGGAAGGCCTCAGCGTTGGGCAGGATTCTGGGAATATGAAGGGTTTAGCCTGGTACCTGGTTCTGAGGGGAACTTTTATTTATTTATATTTAATTTATTGTATTTATTTAATTATTATTTTTTTTTGAGACAGAGTCTCACACAGAGTGGAGTGCAATGGCATGCTCTCTGCTCACTGCAACCTCCACCTCCCAGGTTCAAGCAACTCTCCTGCCTCAACCTCCCAAGAGGGTGCCACCACACCTGGCTAATCTTTGTATTTTTAGTAGAGACGGGGTTTCACCATGTTGATCAGGCTGGTCTTGAACCCCTGACCTTGTGATCCTCCTGCCTCAGCTTCCCAAAGTGCTGGGATTACAAGTGTCAGCCACCACCTGCACCGTGCCCAGCTTATATTTTTATTTTTATAGATACGGGGTCTCGTTATGTTGGCAAGGCTAGTCTTGAACTTCTGGCCTCAGATGATCTCTTCCCATCTTGGCCTCCCAAAGTGTTGTATTACAGCCATGAGCCACTGCGCCTGGCCATGAGGGGAACCTTCAAAGCTCTCCCGGCAGCAGCTGGTCCTAGGGGTGCAAATCTCCCATGTCCAGGATAGGAGGGCCAAGGGGGCCTGGGGCTGCCCCCTTGTGCAGAGAGGAAACGGGTGGCTGGTGAATGGCAGGGACTACCTGGGCCCTAGAGCCCAGCCACTTCCTCATAGCCTCTTCCTGCCCTTTCTGCCTCTTCAGGCTCCAGGTTAAATGGGACCCAGCTTCTCCTGTCCCTTCGCCATCCCACAGGGTTTTCCCATCTCCCTGTGTCAGGGGAAAGCCCTTTTCGAACCTGACGGAGGCCTTGGGATCAGACCTAGCTCCCCCTGCTCCCAAGGACTGTCTTGAGCCCCTTTGGGGCAAGGCGTGGGCAGTGGGGGGTGTCCTGTCGAGTGGGCCGGGGCTGTGTCATCCGCTGGGAGGTCACAGGAAGGAATTTGGACATTGTCTGGGATCTGTAGGGAGCCATGGAAGGGAGGTGTGGAGACACTAGATTTGGGTTTAGAAAGATTGCTGTTGGCTGTGTGCCACAGAATGGACTGAGGGGAAGGGGTGGGTAATGGGGACTGGAGGTGATCATGGAGATGAACTGGGGTATTGATGGGGATGACATGAAAGACAGATTCCAGGAGACAGATTCCAGATTTAGGAGAAGACTCACTAGGGCTTCATACATAATTTTCTTTTCTTTCTTTTTTTTGAGACGGAGTCTCACTCTGTCGCCAAGGCTGGAGTATAGAGGCGAGATCTCGGCTCACTGCAACCTCTACCTCCCAGGTTCAAGCAATTCTCCTGCCTCAGCCTCTCAAGTAGTTGGGATTAGAGGCTCGCGCCACCACACCCGGCTAATTTTTGTATTTTTAGTAGAGATGAGGTTTCACCATATTGGTCAGGCTGGTCCTTAACTCCTGACCTCAGGTGATCTACCTGCCTTGGCCTCCCAAAGTGCTGGGATTACACGTGTGAGCCACCGCGTCCAGCCTCATAGTTTTTATTACTGTGTAAATTTGAGATTATCTACTTTTTATTTGCTAACTTAAAAAAAACCTGACATTTCTGAGTGTTTGCCCGTGTCATGAACTACGCTTTTAAAGCATGATTTTTTTTTCATGGTGCATTGTCTGAACAGAACACATTTAATCCGTCATTGGACAGTTAGGTGCTTCCTCCCATATTAAAAATGCCGTGATGAGCATCTTCGGTAAATCGTTGCACGAATGTTGCTGTACTAAATCTCTGCACTTCTCTTTTCTTGAAGATAAATAGCCCAACATGGGGTTATGGAGTTAAAAGGCCGGGGACGTTTTGAAAGGCTTTTGATTAAAAATTGCTGAATTGCTCTCCAGAAAGGACGCTGCAATTTACATTTTCAGCCAAAGTAGACGAGAGAGCGCCTGTTTCTCTGCATTCTTGCCAGCACTGGGTATTACTGTTTTTCTTCGTTCTTGCCAATTTTATGGGGAGGAAAAGAGGTGGCTCACTGTCTTAATGTTTATTTCTTTGATTACTGTGAAACAGAATCCTAGAATCTTTCAGCTGGAGGACACTCTCGGGGCCAAGTAGTTCAATGCCTTCATTTTACAAGTAGACAAATTAAGTGCCAGAAAGGTGAACAGTCTTCCTCAAAGTCACACAGCAAATTCGTGGTAAGAACCAATTTCTTCCTGTCAGGGCAACACCCACTGTGCCGAGGTGGGTTGTCTGTTGGGATTCAGATAGGGATGTCTTGCTTTCTGTCTGTCTGTCTATCTATCTATCGGTCTATCTATCTATCTATCTATTTATTGAGATGGCATCTCACTGCATCACCCAGGCTGGAATGCAGTGGCGGGATCTCAGCTCACTGTAACCTCCACCTCCCAGGTTCAAGCTGTTCTCCTGCCTCAGCCTCCCAGGTAGCTGGGATTACAAGTATGCGCCACCACACCTGGCTAACTTTTTTTTTTTGAGACCAAGTCTTGCTCTGTCACCCAGGCTGGAGTGCACTGGCATGATCTTGGCTCACTGCAACCTCCGCCTCCCAGGTTCAAGCAGTTCTCCTACCTCAGCCTCCAGAGTAGCTAGGACTACTGGCATGTGCCACCACACTCAGGTGATTTTTGCATTTTTTGTAGAAATAGGGTTTCACCATATTGGTCAGGCTGGTCTTGAATTCCTGACCTTGTGGTCTGCCCACCTTGGCCTCCCAAGGTGCTGGGATTAGAGGTGTGAGCCACCGTACCTTGCCTAATTTTTGTATTTTTAGTAGAGGCAAGGTTTCACCAGGTTGGCCTGGTTGGTCTCAAACTCCTGACCTCAAGTGATCTGCCCACCTTGGCCTTCCAAAGTTTTGGGATTCCAGATGTGAGCCCCCGCGCCCAGCCTCAGGATGTCTCACCTTCTTCACTGAAGTCTTCTGCTGGGGTTCATCTTGCCTCAAAGATCTCTAGCACCCTGCTAAGGAAAAAGCCGATGTAAGTTAAAAAGCACATCATCATTACGGTCATGACAAGATGAATCAGTTTTCACATTCTGTGTGTGAACTATTTACCAGGGCAGGGAGCATCAGAGCTTACTTTACAGCGTTTCTAGGTAACTTGAGATTGGGGTCATGGTCTGACTGAGGGCAGGACAGCAGGTGCTGAGGCCTTGAAGGTCAGTTCTGCTGTTTTCTGGCTGGGTGATCCTGGCCAGCTCCTTACGTCTCTGAGCTCTGAGGTCCCTTGTGCATGAGACAGGGATGGACACACAGGGATCTGCACATGGCAAGTGCTCAGTAAACGCTCTCCCAGGAGGGAGGCGGCTGGGCCGGTCGTGTCAGGGACAGCTGTTCTTGGCCACTCCCTGGGCAGTCGCAGACTGAGGTGTCACAGGCTCTCGGCTGAATTGGGAGTGAGTGGCAAATGTGGAGAGCCTCTGTGGTGGCCTGTCTGGATTGGTGGCTGGATTGTTCTGTATCCAGCTCCTGGCTCAGTGAGTTGGAGAGGGAGAGGTGGCTGTGGCAGGCGGGTTTTAGGCTCAGGCTGCCCAGAGGCTCAGGGTGGCCAGCAGCCTGCCTGGACTTCAGTCCCAGAACCATCATGGCCTGGACAGTGGCTTTGGAGTCACTAATTCCCTCTGGGACTCAGTTTCCCTTTCTGTGCAATGTTCAAATTGCCAGACAGTGACACCGGGTGGGGAAGGTATGCCAGGGCCCCAGGGATGGAGTGTGCTTGGGCTCTGGTGTTCACAACCCAGGCCCTTGGATCTTCTCAGCCTCAGGTGTGGTTTGCAGCCTCTCGACGCCTCAGTTTTTGTATCTGTGAGTTGGGGATAAGGGACTTCTACAACGCAGAGCTGTGTGTGGGGTTTGGAATCACAGACGCTGAACTTGGTGGCTCATGTCGGTACTCCCTCTGCTCAGCAGTGGTGGAGGAGGATCTGCCGGCCACAGTGCGGGACGGTCAGCAGCTGTCGCTGTGGTGAGAGTCTGGTATTAGGCACGGTCTGCGTGGCCCAGGCCTTTCCTTGGTGTTCACATGTGTTCGTCACCAACTCCACCCAGGAGCCCCGTGGGGTCCTTGTTTTACAGATGAGGAAATGGAGGCTCAGAGTGGACAAGAGCTGGCTGATGGTCCCATGGCTGGAGAGTGGTGCTGCTGGGGTCTGACCCCGTCTCCTCTCAGCCTGGAGCCCATACACTGAACCGCTGGGCCACGGTGAGGGGCCCTGCTTAGCGGAGGTGCCAGGGAGCTGCCACGGAGGTGTGCAGGTGAGCGTGAGCGGGCCTGGGTGCCTGGCGTGGGTGTTGCAGGCAGGGTGGGTGCTTTGGGGCACGTGGGCAAGTCCTGATTCACATGGGCACACTCTGAGCGTGAGTGACGGGGTCACGGCATGTGTCAGGAGTGGGTGAGCCGGCACGCCTGTGCGCACGCGTGTGGCGGTGTGTGAGGGCAGCGCTCTGCAGGTTGTAAATGTCGGTGTGCCTGGGGGTGGGGGATGCTGGGGAGAGAGGCACAGACAGGCTGGGAAACGCGCCAAAGGCTGGGAGCTCAGCTGCCACTCTGGGACTGGGTGACAAACTGCCACTCCCAGAGGCAGTGGGGAGTATCATGGTCACGGGGAGGTGACAGCAATGACGACCACTGTTACCCAGTGGACACTCGGGGCCAGGAATGCTGAGTGCTGCCTTCTCCCCAAAGCCCTGGGAGTAGGGACTCTCATACCCATTTTACAGATGAAGAAAGGGAGGCCCAGGCAAGCTGAGCGGCTCAAGCTCAGCTCTTTGTGTAGCCAGAGCCATGCCCTTCCCACTAGGTGCCCGCCTCCCACCGTCTCTGTGAGCCTCAAAACCTTAGAGCTGCCTGCCAAGGGTAGGGAGCTCCCCATCTCAGGAGCATCCAAGCCATTGCCGGAGTCTCAGACACTGGCCAGGCGTCCCGGATTCCTGTGCTGGGTGTGAGGTTGGTGGTGGGTAGGATCCTTCTTGCTGGTTCCAGAGGTTTTGCCTTCTGCTGGGGATATATGGGGCAGCCTCCGCCAGGCAGGAGGCGGAGCTGAGGCCTTGTGGAAAGGCAGCAGGAGGAGAAGCGCTGATGAGTGTAGGCTGCAGCTGTGCCCTGGCCTCAAGGGCATCCTCAGCCTCCACCCATGCTAGTGGAGGCTCAGGCGCTGGGCTGATCCCAATGGTGATCCTCCCGCCCTGGGAACTCAGGAGCAATGTGCCCCAACTTTTTTTTCTTTTTTTGAGGCGGATCTGGTTCTGTCTCCAGGCTGAAGTGCAGTGGCGCTATCTCGGCTCACTGTAACCTCTGCCTTCTGGGTTCACACAATTCTCCTGCCTCAGCCTCCCAAGTAGCTGAGACTACAGGTGCACGCCGCCACCTCGCCCAGCTAATTTTTGTAATTTTAGTAGAGACAGGGTTTCACCATGTTGGCTAGAATGGTCTCGAACTCCTGACCTCATGATCCTTGGCCTCCCGAAGTGCTGAGATTACAGGCATGAGCGACCGTGCCCGGCACGGTGTACCCCATTTTATGTGCTGCACCACCCCTTCTCCTGGGAAGCCCTGTCCTGGACAAAGTAGTGAGGACTGAGCACTCCTGACAGTCCTGCGCTGCCCTGTGCCTGGCTCAGCCCAGGTGCCTTCGGAGGTATCTGTCTGATGGAGAAAGAGACCAAATCTTCATAGGTGCAGTGTGGGCTTGGGGGCATGGTGGCCGAGGGGACCCCCATGACTTTAAGCTCCTTGAGGGCTGGGCCACATCTTGTGGTCTTTGGTGTCTGTGGGATGCGTGGCCTGGGGCATCTTTGCCCCTGCAAAAGGCTGGAATCCTTCCGAAGAGTTTTTCCATGCAGTGCTGTGGTCTGCTTTCCCTGGTGACCAGGACAGGACCTGCCGGTGCTCCTGACTTGCAATCTGTCGGGGAAGGGGGACAGCCAGGGAGCTCAGAGTTGGGTCCCAGCTCCGGCCTGGCCTGCTATGGCCTCTGGCTGCTGCTCCTAGGGCTGCTGTCTCCCGATCTGTTTCACTGTCTATGAGATGTGGTGTCACCATTTCTCAGCTCCGTGTGCCCTGACTGTGCTGTGGGTGGAGGTGCTCCTTGCCCAGGACGGGGTGCAGGGTAGCTGCACTTCTGACCACCGAGGGGGCCCCAGGAGGCTGGTGAGGCATCCAGGCCACTGTGCTCTGAATTCCCTGGCAGGGGAGCAGGGGGAGGGCAGGAGGAATGTGGCTTTGAGGAATGTTTAACCCAAGGCAGAAATAGCACTCAGTCTTTTATTTCAGGCTTGAGTTTTCAGCAGGGAAGTGGGTTCAGTGTGCTTTCCTCTCTCCCCAGCTGTGGGGCCATGGCCACCCCGGCTCCCCCACAGCCCTGGCCTTTGGGGATGGAAAATGGCCTTTCTTTCTTTTGCCCCCCATTCCCTCCCTCCCTCCCTCCCTCCCTTCCTTTCTTTCGTTTCTTTCTTTCTTCTGCTATGGGGAACAGAAAGAGCCCTGGTCTTGGAACCAAACAGAGCTGGGTTCAAATCCTTGGATCTCCACTTCTAGCCCTATGACCACTTCCTTCTCTGGATCTCTGCAGAATTGGGAGAGGGATGCTGAGCTGAGATGGCTTTCCTGGTGGCCTGGTGTCTGGGGCTCCTCTCAGGGACCTGCGGGCCTGGATTCAAATCCCAGCTTCTCTACTCGTTAGCTCTGGGAACTTGGCCTGGCCTTTCCCATCGAGCTCTCAGATTCCATCTGTGAAATGGGCAGATGCCTCTCAGGACTGTGAGTGGGATTCATGGGAAAACATTGGTGATGGGGCCTGGCACGGTGCATCCCAGGCTTTTGATCCCTCCTGCTGCGTCCTGGTCCCGGTGTCTTCACCTAGGAAACAGGAAGACAATGCCTCTTGTAGACTTTTCGCCAGGTTGGATGAGGGAGCCATGCAGGGTTCTGGGGCAGCCCAGAGGCACCTTTTCCTTGGACCCAACTCTCTGCCTCCTCCCACTGGCCATGGGTGGGACCCATCTTCACCCACACTCGCACCAGAGCCCAACGGCTACTTCTAGGGGTGGTGTCTCTGGGGTTGGCCTCCTCCTCAGTCCTGGTGGTGACGACATGCTTCACTGCCCCCTGCTTCAGCTTGGAGCCGTGAGGACCGACTGCATCTCATTGCGAGGCTCCCAGAACAGAACAGAGCCTGCGTGTATTGTTGGAATGAATGAGAAAACAAGTACATAAATGAGCAAGCCAATGAATGAACGAAGTTCCTTCTTATCCATCTTGGGCTTTGCTTTCTGTTTCTGTCCAGCCCCCTCCTACCTCCCGGGCTGGGGGAGGGGGGTTTCCTCCATGGCTGGGGGATCCTGAGAGGTGGGGACGTAGGGAGGCTGGGCCCCAGCTGGCCAGACCTCGTGAGGACCTGAGACCCCTCTCACCTTCTGGGGCTGGGGAGCTGAGGAGGGGTCCAAGCCAACAGCCAGCCAGCCATCAAGCCCCTCCTCCCAGCCCTGCTCCTGCCTCTTTGTGGAACCGAACGATTCCTGTTCAAAGGCAGGAGCTGGGCCTATTTTTGGCACTGTGGGGGAAACAGCCAATGCTTTCCTTCTGTTCAAAAATATATGGTGTGTGTGCCGGGTAGAGGAGGAGCTCTGGCATTCAAAGCCTGTGCTGGCTGGGTTCCTGCCCCTTGCCCCGTGGCCCCTCCACCCCCTGCGCGCCCAGCAGCCCACGCGGCCTTGCCAGGCCATTATTGTCTTCAGGCTTCCTGTGATTCGGCCCTTGCTGCGCCCAGGCGGAACATGATGTCAATTAAAATGAAGAGCAGCTGTCAAAATCGTGGAGAGGAGCCTGCCTAGGTGCCCCTGCCATGATATTCCAGCTCAGGCTCTGAGGGGCTGGGGACAGCCTTGAGAGGGATCTAGGTGTCTCTCAGGGAAGGAGGCCCAGCCAGCAGGGAGCAGAGGAGAGGCCCTGGGACCTGTGGGGGGGTGTGTCTGGCCAAAGGGGTTCCTGGGCCACCTTGCCAGCCCTCACTCCTTGATTCAGACCGTTTATAGAACAGTTGCCTTGTGCCAGTCCCTGTGAATGCTGGGGACACGGGGCAGGCTGGCCGTCTGGATTTCTGGCCCTGCTGGCATTCACAGTTTGGCAGGGAGGCAGATGTCGGGCCGGGATAAGCATCAAGACAGGGCTTTGCACAATGCACTGGGAATCTCCCTGGTCTGGGGTGCATCTGGGAGGGCTTCCTGGAAGAGGTAATATTGCAGTTGAGACCCGGGGCTAGGGTTGCCAGATGTACTAAAAAATGGTTTGCTGTTTATGTGATATTTGAACTTAACAGGGTATCTGTATTTTTGTTTGTTGAATTTGATAGTGCTACTTGAGGGAGAAGAGAAGTTTGCGGGGAGGGTTTGCGTTGGGCACGGTGATGGTGCTTCAGGTGGCAGGAACCGAAAGATTCCTGTTCAAGGGGAGGACCTGGTTAGTCCTCACCTTCCAGGGCCCCCCAACCCCCAGCCCCAGGAAGGGGTGGGAGACACACAGCTGGTCCTCCAGCACAGCTCAGGCAGTAGCCAGATTGGTCACAGAAGCCACACAGCCATGCCTGTGTCACAGCCAGTAGAGCAGGGAACCCTCTGAATGGAAGTGCCTTCTAAGGAGGCGTTAAGGTTTAGCAACTCCTGAAATTGCACGGTGACTGCACACAGAGGGCCTGTGGCTGCGAGGGCTCTGATGGCCGGAGGGCTCCTGCTGCGCCCCTCCCCCCGGCTCCAGGCGTGCGGGGCACTGACGAGCGATTGAGCAGCTCAGAGATGAGCTCATGTGGCCAGAAGCAGACCCACGGAAGTCCCTTGGCCTCTCTGAGCTGCGGCTTCCTTGTTGTGAGTGGGGTGCTGGTGGCCCCTGCTTCGGGAGGTCCCTGGAGAGGTGGCTTGGCCCCTCAGAGTTGTTGGCTGACCCAGCAGGGCAGAGGCCCCGCTAAGAGGGGCGTCTCAGAAAGCAGGGGAGCGACATGAGGCCGCAGGGCACACGTTGCCCAGGGAGGCACCTGCAGGCATCCCAGTCAAGGTCACAGTCCAGCCTCCAGTGAGCTCTGGCCAGGCTGAGTGGTCTGCGCCTGTGCCTCTTTGTGCCCCGTCGCCACCATCCCTGGGTCCTCCAGCTCTCTGAGCACCATGACAAGGACCCTGATGAGTCACTCTGTACCTCCTCCAGGAGGGCAGGTCAGGGCTGAGCCTCCACCCTCCACTCTTAAAGGGCCAGAGCCAGGGCCACTGCCTGCTGGTGGCCAGGGCTGCCTGGGTGCCAGCAGCAGCCCTTGCCAACCCTCTGCCAGTCACCCTGGAAGGCATGTCCCGTGGTCCCTGCAGGAGCTGCTCTGTCGCTGTGTGGCTCAGGGGCCAGACCTCCATGTTTTAGGAGTGGATCTGCAGCATTCTGGGAGGGGAGGTGCTGGCGGTAGCCGACACTGATTCCACCCCGGGTGTCGCCCTCGCTCAGTCTCTGTGTCCCTGCCACTGCTGTCTCTGCCTCTCCCCGTGTGGGGGAGCCTGGCACCTTCACTGAGGTCTCTCTTCACCTCTCGCCTCTGCTCCATCCTGGGACCCTCTCAGTGCTTCCATTCAAAGCGTTCCCTCCTCTGCTGGCTGTGACATTAGGTGTGACCGTGTGCCTTCTGTGACCAATTTGGCTTCTGCCTGAGCTGTGATGGAGACCAGCTGTGTGTCTCCCACCCCCCTTTCCTGGGGCTGGGGTGAGGGGGCCCTGGAGGGTGAGGACTGAAGCAGGAATGTGGGGACTAGGGTGGGGAGGCAGATGCCACATGATCTGAAGTGGGGGATGGGGTGACGCCTGCTCGGCTTCTCGCAGTCCCTGCTCCTCCCGGGTGCCCCCATTACTGGCCCTGGCCATCTGGCCTAGTCTTTCGGCGCTGTGACTCCTATATTAATAATAGTGGCAATTGTTAACATTTTGGGACACTCACTGTGTTCTCTCCGCCTGGATCACACCACGCTGCCTCTGGAAAATGCTTTGTTCTAGTGAGATGTGGCCGCTTGCGGTCCCTTGAACTCACTGGCCTCTGGATGGCCTCTGAGCTTTGGACCTGTGGCCTCCCCTGGAAAGGGCTGCTGCTTCCCCTTTGCCTGGTTAAGGCCTGCTCATGAGCCCTCGCTCAGGGAGCAAGCCTGAGCCCTTAGGATGGGTTGGGTTCCTGCTTCACATTTTCATTAACCCTGAACTTCCCTTTTTTTTTTTGAGACGGGGTCTCGCTTTGTCACCCAGGCTGGAGTACAGTGGTGTGATCTTGGCTCACTCTAACCCCATCTCCTAGATTCAAGTGATTCTCCTGCCTCAGCCTCCTGAGTAGCTGAGATTACAGGTGCCCACCACCACACCTGGTTAATTTTTTGTATTTTTAGTAGAGACAGGGTTTCTCCGTGTTGGCCAGGCTGGTCTTGAACTTCTGACCTCAAGTGATCTGCTCTCTTTGGCCTCCCAAAGTACTGGGATTACAGACATGAGCCACCGCGCCTGGCCTGCAGTGAGCCTTGATTGCACCACTGTACTCTAGCCTTGGGGTTGACAGAGGAAGATCTTGTCTCAAAAAAAAAAAAGGAACTTACAGATTTGCATAATCATACCACAGAAAGTGTGGTGGGATTACAGGCACCTGCCACCATGCCTGGCTTATTTTTGTATTTGTAATAGACATGGGATTTGCCATGTTGCCCAGACTGGTCTCAAACTCCTGACCTCTGGTGATCTACACTCCTTGGTCACCCAAAGTACTGAGATTACAGACATGAGCTACTGGGCCCAGCTGAACTTTCCTTTCTTATGACAGATAGACAGCTGTGTGGGTGTGTGCTAACAGGGTGTGTCTCCCCTGTTCTATCAGGGACCCGGAGGACAGGAACCTGTGTCTGGGTCATTGCTGTGTCCCTGGAGCCCAGCTCAGGTTCTGACCCATTGAGGTTGCTCAGGAATTAATTGCTGGATGAAGGAAGGGGTGAAAATCCTGTTTGTTCCTTTAGCCACCCTGCAAGAAAGGTATTGTGACCACCACCATTCCCATTTGACAGCTAAGGAAACTGAGGCTCAGAGAGGTGAATTTAGCTGCCCAAGGTCACACAGGGGCTAACGAGTCAGTTTAGATAAAGACCCTTCCTCCGTGCCTTCCACAGTGTCTGACCTCGGCAGTTTGGAAAATTCTTGTGGAATGGGACTGATCTGAATCCCCGAGTGCCGGGCTTGGCTCTGAAATGTTTGAGAGGGTCAGGAGTCTTGAGAAAACTCCACACACACAGATTTCCCCAAGGTCTTGGCCAGTCACGGTGACTCACGCCTGTAATCGCAGCACTTTGAGAGGTCGAAGTGGGCGGATCACTTGAGGTCAGGAGTTCGAGATCAGCCTGGCCAACACAGTGAAACCCACCTCTACTAATAATACAAAAATGATCTGGGTATGGTGGTGCACCCATAATCCCACCTACTCAGGAGGCTGAAGCAGAATTGCTTGAACCCGGAAGGTGGAGGTTGCAATGAACCGAGATCGCGCCACTGCGCTCCAGCCTGGGCAACAGAGTCAGAGTAAGACTGTGTTTTAAAAAAGAAAAAAAACCCAAAAACTAGTTCTGGAGCTCTGGGCAGGTGGCTTTACCTCTGGAAGTCTCTGTTTCTAATCTGTCTAGTGGAGACCATCAAAGTCCTTGCCTCATAGCATCATTCGGTCGTTGAATGAGTTTAATGCAGGCAAAATGCTTAGCCCGGATCAGCACATAGTAAGCAGCTAATGATTGGCAGCTTTTTCTTCTCATTATTCCTGGAGGTCACAGGACGAAACGCATCGTCCTGCAATTTTACTTGAGAGTTTTGTTGTGGGGGAAGGGAGTTATTTACCCTACATAGAGATGAAAATCAATGTATTTTACAACTTTACAGTAAAGAAACACTCACATATGATGAGGCAGAATGCAACTTTGCAGAAATATGTAAGCTAGAATGCAGGATTTGAACTAAACCTGGCCTTTGGCGGCTTCCTGGGAGCCTGTCCCCACTCCTGGGTGGGGGTACTAGCCCTCTCCCCTTGGGGGCTTTGTGGAGGGCACCTTTGGGGAGTCCTTGGACCCTCTTGAGCGCAGGGCCCTGTTTCAGGGACAAAGCACGTTCACCTACTCATGAGCTAGTTGGAGTGATCATTCTTACCTCATTGATCAAACGAGAACGTTGAGGCTTGCAGTGGGAAAGCGAATCACAGAGATTCTGGCTTTATTTTGGTAAATCTGAAAGTGGGAAGTGTCAGAGAGCCCAGGAGAAAGATGAAGACAGGGCTTGGCTCTCCCAGGGGGACACATGAAGGGGCACTTTGGTGGGCAGGAGTTGGGTGCTCCCACTGGACTCTGCCCCAGCCTCATCCACCCCAGTGCCAGGCACACAGCAGGTGCTTAGCAAGTGCTTGCCATGGCCTGGGGGCCTTGGTGGGCGGCCCCTCCTTGGGGATGACATCTCCCCACTAAAGCCTTCCTGAGCCTCGGCTCCAGAGTCTATGAACCTGGCCTGCACCTCCACTCCTCCACCCCTGACTGCGTGATCTTGGTCCAGCACCTTGCCTGTCAGTGAAACCTCCATTTCTTTGAAGTGGGTTGGTAGGGACCCCCTGCTGTCAGAACAGGGCCTGGTGCAGCATGAGGGCTCAGCTTTCCAAGCCATCTGGAGCTCGGGGAGGATTCTGAGGGACTGAGAAGGAACCAGGGCTTTGTATTTGAATCTGAGCTGCCCTAAGCAGCCTCTCGCCTGGCTCCCCTTCCTGCGGTAGCGACAGCAGCTTGCTGTCTTGGTGTCCACCCCACGGCCTGGCCCTCTCACTATTGAAACCCCACAACTCCTCATCAGCACAGCATCTCCAGGGCGCCCACCACGTGCTGGGCTCAGTGCTTGCGACCTGTATCCTCTCGCTGGCCTCTGACAGTGGGACAGGGAGCACGCTGACCCAGGGTGCACGGTGACTGGAGAGTAGGTAGACCCGTCTGTGCGAAGGCCCTGGGTAATCCCAGCTGGACTGTGTGTCCCAAGCCGAGAGCCTGGCTTTAGGGAGCCTTAGGCAGGGCAGCCAGGCCCAGGTGCAGAGCAGCAAAGAGCAGCTCCCAGGAGCTGCGGCTGAAGTTCACCTGGCCCTGGCTAGAGTCTGCCCTCTGGGGCCAGGGACCCATCTACTTGCTATTCCTGAAGACAGGCCTTGTGGGCCAGATGATCCCCCGACAGGTGAAACACCCCCAACTCAAGTGCGCAGGCTTCCTCTTGCCTCTTACCTAGAGGCTCTGGCCTCTCTTATGTGGTGGTGAGGCTGCCGTGGGGGTATAAGGAAGGGAGGTGGGGGCCGGTGGGGGGTGGTCAGAGCCTGGTCAGCTGTGTGGCCATGGGCATGGGACACCCCTGATGAGCTCAGGTGCCTCATCCTGAGACAGACACAGCAACAACCCGTGGCCTGTGTGAGGTTCTAATGAAATGCGGGTGCAGGCGGGTGCAGGGGAGACTGCAGTAAGCACCCAATAGCAATAGTGGCCATCATAGTGGCTCACAGCTGCGTATGGCAGTCTGATGGCCCCGGCAGGTGGCCTGCTTGGAAGGGGCAGTGTGAGCAGAGCAGATAGGGCCCGCCCACCTTTCCCGCCGGCTGCCGTGTGCCCCAGCCCAGTGCTGGACCAATCCTGGTTGGCACTCAGGATAGAGACAGTGACTGCCAAGGAGGCTGGGTCACTACTCCTACAGTGGGGACACGCGGTAGGGGGCTGGAGCCCAGAGGGGAGGGTGGAAGGTCTGGGGAATGCGTGGCTTCTGGGTCAAGGCGAGGGGCTCCTGCAGTGGCTCTGCTTGGCCGGGAGTGCCTGGGAGCTCTGGGCAGCAGGCCAGGCCCCCGTTTCTGGGGCAGCTCAGGCCTGGTGCTGGGGTGTAGCTGCCCCTTAGCCGGGCAGTGGTGGCAAACAGGCATGGGATGGGGGCTGGTCTCTCCTCTCACCCTGGCAGGGGCGTGGAATCCTAAGTACAGTGGCAGCGATGATCATGCTGACTGCCTCGTGCAGGCGGCTCCTGCGCCTGCTGTCACGTTACTCTGAGCTTGCGGGGCAGCACCAGCGAGCTCTCTGCTTTAGAGAAGAGGCTGCACCTTGTCCAAGGTCGAGGGTTAAAGGGTCTGGGGCCTGGCCACATTGTCTGGCCCAGAGCCCGTGCCCACATTCCTGTCCTCACTCTGGCCCTCTCCGGGGCTGCTCTTCCTGGGACACGGGGCCTGTTGTCCGTGGGAAATGCGTCACTCTAGCCCCTCGTTTACTTGTTGCCTGAAGGTCACTTTGTGGAGCGTGGGAGCTGGGGGGCCTGGAAGTCTCAGAGCTGAGCTCTTTCCCGGGACAGAGAGGGGAGGGTTAGTGGCCAAGTTCACGCATTGTGTCAGGAGCAAAGGGGCTCCCTGCCCATCCCAGGAACACCAGCATATTTCCTTGGGGCCTTTGGGAACCACTTGACACTGCCAGGTGACTCCAGGATGGTGCTGTGACCCCTGGGGGCCAGTGCTGCAGGGGTGGGACCTTGGGTGCTCGGGGCAAAATCAGGGCACCTGGGGATTGGAGCGTGCAGGTGGCTGCTCCACAGCCCTCGAATGTGGCAGGATGCCGGGCAGGAACCCTGCAGGCGTTTCACTCCCTTTTCTGTCATCTCCACCTCCCGGTGTGTGGCACTCCATGGTTGGCACAGCCAGTAATGTCCCCTTTCACAGATGGGGAAACTGAGGGCCAAACTGGGGAAGGAACTGGTCACACAGCAGGAGAGTGGCAGATCCCTGGAGTTCAGGTCCCACTAGAGACCACCACTGCCTTTGCTATGAGGAACTGCCCCTCCCCAGGGGCAGGCCCGGTGTGGGGGCAGGAGGGTGCATTTGGCCAGCCAGCGGTGCGTTCCCTCCGCTCGCTGACTTAGCTTTGCTGTTGCTGCCCAGTGAGGGCTTGGGGGAGAGCCCCCATTCTCTGAAGATGGTACCGAGGGGGTTTCTTAGGTGCTGTGGGGAGAACACAGCCGCAGGGCGCTGTGAGGAGGGGCAGGGGGAGGCTGAAGAGGCTGGAGACACACTGGAGGCTCTGGAAGAGGATTCCAGATGGG